CTCATTGAACCTTGTTCCATTTTATGGTGTCACCCATCCACTTTATGAAATTGAAGCCACCTATTGGTCATTTACTTATGTGGTCTATTCTTCATTGACTATATACTATTTAATTTTTTTTCCTAACAGGTACAATATTTTTATAACTTCATTTGGTTTTGATTTAAGGTCTAATTTTGTGTAATGAATGAAAGTGGCTTGGCTATTAAACTTCCCACCCAAGTACACCCACATATAGTTTTTGACTGTGGTAACTATGGAAAGTCTCTGTTTAAATTATACAGCTATTTTTACTTTACAAAATGGATCATAGAGCTCATTGTGGGAAAGCCTTTCTATTTATTTAGATAATAACAATTTCAAATAACTTGTTAATGTCTTTCTGCTAGGCTATATCCTTCGGCATATTAATTTTTGTGCGACTATTTGATCTTACATTTTTGTAAATGAATTAGCTATTCTCAAGTAGTCTTTTATACAATAATTATTTTTTAAAATTTCAGAAATATTTGTATTTACATATCCAGGTTTTTAAATTTTATATTCTGGGCTCATACTTCTAATATGATAGTTGCTCACGTGCAGATTTTGGCCCCAGAAATAGGAAGATTTCTTGTGTGTATCCCTTAAATAACATAAACATCTTTATAGTCATTTTCCTTTTGAAGAAGTCAGTAAACCACAAAAGTTTAAACTATAGTCTAGAGGTTTCCATCCTGTTCTCTTCCCCAAATTATTTTGTACAAAGCAGAAAGAATTCTTAGTTATAGAATCCCTGTGTAGCTATTGTGCTGGTCAGGGTTATTCAGAGAATAAGAGCCAAGGGAATTTTGATGGCTAATAAATCCCAAGATTTGCAGTGTCTACAAGCTGAGTACCCAAGATGAGCCAATGTTCCCATTTGAGATCAAAATTGGGGAAAAACCAATGTCCAGTTCAAATCAGCGTGACAGAGATCATTCATTCTCTCTTCTTCGGGAAAGGATCAGCCTTTTTGATCTAGCCAGACTCTCAACTGATTGGGTGAGGGCCCCAATCAAACTAGAGAAGGCGGCCTGCTCTACCCAGTCTACCAGTTCAAATGTTAATCTCATACCAAAAACTCTTAAAGCAATAGCTTATGAAAGATCTGTACATTTGATGTTTCAACCAACTTGACACAAGTTGACACCCAAAAATTAATTATCACAGTAAGAAATGCCACCAAAAGTGCCTTCTGTTTCACAGTCTTTATCTCTAGTATTAATCAAAAACATTCAGTTGGAGCTGGTGGGTGACTTCTGTAAGGAAAAGAAACTGGTCTTGTCCATTCTCCTAACTTCATGATGTCTCATCCACTTTCCCACTGATTTGGCCACAACAGCCCAGGATGTGAGGAATAAAGTTTAAGAACCATTTATCTATTTAATATTCTTGCCAGTCTGTTATGCATTATATATAAACACTGTAAGTAGGTTTTGCTATCCTTCCAGTTCTTCTGTGACTCATCCTGTGTTCAATTATTTCTCTTCATTCTTCATAGAGTTTTATTAAACTCATTTTCTCCTTATGTAATTCAATAATTTGTAGTTAAAACATGTCATCCATTTATCAGTATGTCCAGTGTTGTAGAAAGTTTGGGGGATCATAATGACTTCCACAAACTAGAAATTTTACTGAGGAGAAAAAGACATGTTTTGAAATAAACAAGTTAAGAAAAAACAAACCAGACAGACAAAAAGTGCACCATAAGGTTATTTCCAGAAATCTGTCTGAATATTTTATCAAGTGAGAACAATGTCATGCTTTCCAGTTGGAACACCATGATCCATGGACTGTTAGGTTTTTGTCAAGTAGGCCTTCACAGTCATCTGTCTCCTTGGAGATATATTTTATAAGACTCACCTTTTATTTTTGTAGGTACAAAGGGAAAAAGGACGATGGCAGTAGGTCCCAAAAAATGTTTAATGTGTAAGATGCCTAAGCTTATTAATATTTGAATAGTCAGTCTTTTTTCCCCAACATCTTGTGTTTACCTGTTGAGCTCTTGGAGATTTGAAAGGAGTTGGAGACAGGCAAGAGGATTTCTTTTAGAGCTAGAACTCTAATGAGTGTAAAGCAATGAATTCAAAAGAGATGTATGTGCTTAGCAGATTTTCCTGGAAGAAAGTTTTGTTGTTATTGTTATAAGGTACCCGTTGAAAGGGAACCCTTTTGAAAGCAGAAGCTGTTGTTATTGTGAGTGAAATGAGAAAGTTCATAGATAGGAGGATTTTAAATATTTTTCTATGTATTAAAAAATACATTTACACAGCTCATCTTCTCTGCCATTCACACCAAAGGCTTAGGAACGACGTCTGTTTAAAGACAATGTGTAAGCTTATGTCTGATGCAATGACATATTGTGCCACATAACAACATTCCTTGGGCCTAGAGATACTTGTCATATCAAAGAAAGCATAGCAATAAGCTTATAAGCACTTCATGACCCATCTTCCCATAATCATAAACCGATAAACAGTAGAATAATATTAATCATGATAGGTTAATTGAAGCACCACTTTAGGGGGAAAAATCCTTAGCGCTAGGGTATTGTGCTCCAGGATGATGTATATACACTAAACAAACAGGTGTTGTGGAATGTTTACCTAGAGAGCTAGAATTGATAATTCAGGGGGAAAGGTGAGCCCTTATAATAAATCACAGTGTCCGCTTACAAATTTTTGCTTCCTTCTCTGCAACCTTAGACTTTGCCAGTTAAAACTCTGGTTCTTGAGGTATGGGCAGAGTTAGTCTTGTCAGGGAACCCACTAAGTGTTCCACTTCACTGGCAGCTATGATTGATTCCACCTGGGCTTGATTACCGAGCATTCCTCACTGCCATGGACCAGCAAAGAGGGAGAGATACTGTACTCAGCACCATGAGAAAATAGCACTGCTACTTCACAATCAGAGCAAAAAGGAAAGATGCCTAGAACTCAGAGGTGCCCCATGCCTAAAGGTGAATGAAAAATTGCTGCAGCCAAGACTTGTAGCATCAAGGAATCTAAAGGCCTAATGGCCAGGGATATAGGGTCACTTCACAGGGCAGCAACCCAAACCAGCTGATGGGCTGGCAGAGTATGAGGAAAATCTGAGAGAGCTGCTAGAGGAGGCTGGTGATGAACACTGATGAAGGTTCCAGGTATCAGCCAGAGGCTGGTAGCGCTGTGACTCTTCATAGCCTAGGAGACGGGCCCCCGCCTTTGTAGCCCCCATGTAAGCTGGGGCCTCACTATTAATCACCCCTTCCATCCTTCTTTTCCACCTCCTTTTTAATTACTCTTCTTGATAAGGAATCAGAGACAACATAAGGTACATCCATGGTGCATCTATTAGTATTCAACAGGCTGCGGGCAGCCTCGCAGCCCAGCGCTCAACCGCTGTGCCACCAGGGGAGGCCCTCAACAGGAATATTTAACTAATATTTCCATTTTAATTGTATATCAGAAGGAAAGCCTGAAGGCTCAGGTATTAAGTTGATGTATCACACTTGCTATCGAGTTCAGATTTGATCTAATTATCCAGATTTTTCCGGACTTGGGTATCTCAAACTTTGGGCATTATTTGATTTTGGGGTTGTCTTACCTGAATTTGAATATCCTGCCAGTAGAGTGCCAGGGAATTTGATTCTCACAGTTCTTCCCTTCAACCCCCTCATTGGTCATGAACTTCCGTCACTGTCATTGTTTATTGATGAATGACCTCTCTCATGAATGTTTTGTGATGAAAGCTAATCTATGAAAGAGTTGAGAATGAGATTCGTGTTCATCATAAAGACCTCAGATGAAAGATGCGGCCATAGTGGATTACGTCCCCGCTGAAACAAAACAAGGGCAGCTACAAACATTTGAAAGCAAGTCACATTTTTGTACATCATCCATTATTCTTTCGTTTAATTGAACGTTAAAGATTCTACATCTTCTAAATTTATTAGCTTGGTATTTAACATGTTCCATGGCCAAAATAGTGAAGAAGGTTCATTATTGCTGGTTAAATTAGCCTCATGAAAATGTTGTTGGTAAAGGTTACAGAAATGAATAAGATATCTAACCAACCAGCCTATTAGACCATTTATCATTATAATTTAAAAAGGCATTCTGATGATTTAAATTAACTTGGCTAAAGGGTAGACAATGAGATAAAAGTTAATAATTAAAATCTAAATGGCATGATTTGCTCTTCATTTTGATAAAGAAGGCACTAAACATATGCAGACAGCGTTTACTTAAACTGCCTTCTGGTGAGAAAGTGAACCCAATAAAATTAAACCTAAGCATACCACTTAGGGACTTCATTTTAAAAACATTACAGCTGTATTACATATCTCAATGTCTTGTATTTATCTGAATGATCTGAATATTTTTCATTTCCTTAAGACATTTTATTTGAGATAATTGAAGACTAGTATTTAGCTATTTTCTTATTGTTTGTTTATTTTTAACTGAATGTCCTTTCTAGATATTTTTAAGATAATTTTTATTAAGGTAATATTGATTTGCAATACTTTCATGATTCTGGAATATAGGACCCCATCTCTTCTTATGTGTTGTATGTTCCCACTCCATCCCTACCTCACATGTGTTGTATGTTCCCACTCCATCCCTACCTCACATGTGTTGTATGTTCCCACGCCATCCCTACCTCCAAGGTACCCACAGGCCTCCACTATAGTCCGTCGCTGAAGGTGCTAAGCCTTTACCATCTACAATACCCTTATCAGTAAATTTAACCCATATTTTTCTCTCCATACATACAAAATCTTTATTGTTTGTGTGGCCAACTCCCACCTTCTTTTGTGTTAAAATTATTTCTATCTATCTAGAGAGATTTCTTTTTATTTTTTACTAGTAAGTTCATAGAGCTTTCTAAAAAAGATGGAGAGCCCATTTCTTCTTAGGTCTGCAACCCTGCTTCAGTATACCATGTCTATGGCCTTAAGATCAAAATAAATATTTTCTTGTCTTTTCCATTCTTAACAGAAACCAGGAGCTTAAAGAGCTTGGTGAGCTTTCGCCACACTGGGACAATCTCCGGAAAAACGTACTAACTCACTGTGATCAAATGGTGAACATGTATCAAGACATTCTGACAGAACTGAGCAAGGAAACAGGTGTGAAACCCACGTTAACTTCACATGTTCAGCTGAACTGTATTTCATGTGTGTGCTGTGTGAAAACAACATTAAATATTATTATGGATGTAGGAAAGCCAAAGATTTTTAAAAAATATTCCATTTCCCACTGTACCATCTTTGTATCAAAAATAAGAAAAATGACACTATTTTACCTCATGGTATTATTGTTATTATTATAAGAATAATTGAGAAATCTTGGAAATTGAATTTCTGAGAAGAAAAGCAACTTAAAGCAGAAGGACCTGGTTTATTTCTGAAGTTCTTGAACATTTTTCTATGTCAAATGTACTTACTTTCCCACAAATGTGCACACACACACAAACATACACACTTATTATTTACTATTAATTTCTTTCCATCCAGGGTCTTCTTTCAAATCAAGCAGCAGCAAAGGAGAGAAAACATTAGAGTTTGTTCCGGTAAATCTACATCTGCAAAGAATGCACGTCCACAGTCCCCACCTGAAAGGTGATATTTCCTGTTAGACTCTTCTTTTAAAACTAATAAATGTTACTCGTGTGCACTTCCTTAAGAAGCTTAACAGCTGACAGAATTCAGCGATTTAGCAGTTATTTGCGAAGAGGACAATGAAACCACTGAGGCTGTTAATGATTCTAAATGCTGGAAAAGGGACACATATTTTTGCTGCTGCATTTCTGGGCAACAGTTTGTAAACGTGGGCCCTGAATTGGTTTACAAGTGAATATACAAAATCAGCATTAGCTTTTCAAAGTAGTTTCAGCTATGGCTAACAGCTGCCAATCATGCTGCAGTTGAATTAGAACAAAGGTGAAAGAAGATGTTTGTTTTTGATGCGTCTTGAGCATCCCAAACCCAAGGGTGAATCCAGGCTGTGTCTCTGACCTAGTGGTGACTATCACCAGAATCACCCCCTTGCTTCTGAGAAAGGGATTTATCAGCTAGAAGGTGGGAGGGTATTTTGAGACACTCATTGTGAGAGAGACTTTTTCAAGGAAAAGTACAGATCTTCATAAACATACCTGGAGAGAGTCTAGAGAGAACAGTGTGATGCTATACCTTTTACCATTCTACAGAATCCCCTAATTCTCAGTAGACTATTTCATAAAATATTCTTTTTATTTCCCTTATTATTTAACTCACTGCTCCATCAATGCTTTTGCGTGTTTAGAGCCACTCGAGGCCCGTGAGTCCCAGCAAAAGTCCCATGTTATGCCTGGTGTCCCGGCGTCACAACTAATGGTGCCCTTTTCTTCCACGGCATTCCTGTTTCAATGAGAAATGTTTTGCTCATCCTAGAGAGCTAAGAGTTACTTACGGTCATCAATCCTTTGAGATAAGTGCTTCAATGCACACATCCAAAATACACTAATGCAAATAAAGATGCATCCTAATTCCCTATTTTGTAGCCTTTGTCCCAATGTGGAATTTATAGATTTAGAAATTTTAAAAGGAAATCCTTTTCTGCTTTAGAGTTATCCGAGGTTTTATAATGAAAAAATTTCAACATTTTGCTAAGTTTGTGCATGTGGACTATGTATAAACACAGCCAGCTAATAGCAAGTTTGATAGTTACAATCACTCTGGTGTATAATTTTATAGTCACTGGTAACCCTTATCAACTATCTAAAATTTTAGCTTGGATTCTTTTCATTAAAATTTACATCAAATGAAGAACTGAAATAAAAATGTGATGATCCAAGGCATTTAGAAATTCTGCCTCGTACCTGTCATTAATTTGAACATAAGTATGTAATGGTTTTCAAGAGCATCAAAACCAAAGTATTAAGTAATAAAGAAGTTAAAATACATAAGGGTATATGAAAAACCAATGTATTTTTTCCTACTGATCAATATAAAAAGGCTTTTAATATACATTAATAAGTTTATATAGTAGAGTAGAACAGTCTTGGGTGTGTTTTACAGTTGTTCCCTTTTTTATTTATGACCTTAAGTCTTTCATTTAATCTTTCTATGTAGTGTTGTTCTCTTCCTATTAAGTAAATTAGAGTTTGTAAAACCTCTAGATGAACTATCATAGTTTATACGATACTTGTGGCATTCGCTACCACCGAAATAAAATGGATCTGTCAGTTTTTTGTTTTTGTTTTTTGTGGGACCCTCACTGGTGGCCGGGGATCAAACTGGTGCTGCAGAGGCTGCAGGCATCCTCGCAACCCAGCACTCAACCGCTTCGCCACCAGGGGAGGCTGGGATCTGTCAGTTTTATCAGAACTGTTAAAACTGAAAAGTAATCATTTACTGTGAATAACATACTGATTGCACATTGATTTCCCCCCAAGGCTACTCTTATGTATTTTGTTATATATCTAAATATATAGAGAAGTAGATAGGTAGGCAGGCAGGCAGGCAGGCACGCAGACAGACAGACAGGCAGGCCGGCAGGCCGGCAGACAGAGATACAGAGATAGCTATATTTCTATTTCTGTCTATGCCTATATATATTTTTTTATATATAAATCATGTGAATAATGTTAAAATATTAAGCTTATGTGTTTTTAAAATACTTGCTTTTAATACTAAGTTTAAAAGTTATTACTTCAAATGAGTTTAAAATGAGGTGTGTTTACTTAGATCACCAATTATATGTTCTAATAGAAATTGAAAACTTGACTAAACTTTGGGACTCACATCATTTACTCCTTTGACTTGATGAAGTTCATAATCTCTCTGAGCTTCAGTTTTCTTCTTGGCAAAATAAAATGATCAAGAGTAGTGCATGGAAGTTATTAAAATTGTCTGCTTGCCTATATAACATGTATTTCAAAGATTTTGAAATTTATTTAAGATCCATGGTTACTGATTTGAATGTTTAGATGAATTACAGACAGCAATTTGCAAGGTAATGGTGCAAGTAAGACTGGCCTAGCTGTGGTATTTCACTGGTGAGTTATTGGGATGAAGTCTACATTCATTTTCGTTCTTACCATTAGTAAATTACATCTACCCATGTTTGATTAATATTTCTACTGTATTTGGAGAGGCCACTGTGCAAACAATAGTGGGCAGATTCTACCAACTACAAGGCTAATGTCTAGCTCTTGAAATAAGTAACTGAGCAGAACTAATGTTGTCATGTCTCATACTGACAAATGAAATAACCCCAATTTAACTTCAAGTGTCCCTACACCCATTAAGTTAATTTTTCATCCTTATTCATTACTTAAAGTAAGTTCAACAAATAGAATACCATCACAATAGAGACAGTAGGACAACAAAAGCAAAACACTGAAGTTAATAATACAAGTTCTCCATCCAACATGTTCTATAATGTCATCTTCATAAAAAATAGTTGTGTATACTTTAAAATATGGATTCTGTGATATTTTAATGTTCTTAAAGTAATTTTATGTTGTAGATTTATATGCTGTATATGTAACAAAACATCTATATATCTATATATAGAAGATATAATATGAAAAGATATATCTACATATAAAAGATATCTATATATATCTACAATACACATGTACACACTATCTATCTATCTAAATATATATATATATATATATATATATAGAGAGAGAGAGAGAGAGAGGGAAGAAGCAAGAAAGCCTACTATTATATATCATAAAACTGCAGCTAGAATCAAGTGTAACATGAGCCAGAAATCACTGTGTGACTGTGGATGAATCAGCTAACCTCTCTATTCTCTCAGCTGCTCATCTCTACACTGAGAGAAGGAGCAAACAGGAGGAACTATTTAGAGCTCCCTGATTTCTTATGAGTTTGGGTGTATCACCTCATCAGGGAAGTGTAATTACCTTTAGGTATGTTTAATGATGATATTAAATTTCTTGGACCATTTTGAAACAGATTTCCCCTCAAAATCTCTATTGTCTTTGTCATTTATGTCAATGTCCTTTTGTGGACATTTTGAAGTCAAGGCTTATGCTTAAATCGTTCCTTGATATGAGATCAGCGTGTCTACATTTCTTTCATTAGCACTATTTTTGCAGTTATAGGAATTTTAAAGCAATATTCTGGGGAAAATAGGCTTATTACCTCATTTCTATTATTAAATAGCTTTTAAAAGACCACAAGACAGCTCTATTATTAAATTTTAAGCCAACCTAGTATCTTTAGTTTGATGAGATGCAGCAGCTTGAACTTCACTGCCCTATTATGTTGTGTACTATGCCATTTGTACAAGGTTGAAGAAAACTTTTGAGTTATAAAATATCAAAGAAGACACAGAGATTTCTTTTCAAGAAGGAAATAAATAAATAATCAGCTCTTTATTAAGATAAGTGGAGGGTGAGCTACTTGCATCTCTTCCTTTACCTGCTGCTACAGACTTTCTTGGCTTCTTATAGATGTTGGAATTCCTCAGTCAGTGAGGCGGATGGATACAGAGGACATTTCTGTTCCTGCTTTGGAAGATGATGAAACTATAGGTGAACTGCAGAGACAGATTCTTCATGGAGCTAAGAAAGCTTCAGTTCAGGGGCTCTCTTGTGGGTGGGCCCCTTGTAAGGCTCTTCAAGGAGCTCTAGCCACATGTTTGTGGTTAATGTTCTTACAAATTTTGCAGAAGATAATTTAACCTCCGTCAATTAAGACTGTGCTCTTTCTACTCAAGGTTTCCCTTCTCTCGTTCTTCCCTGCTGGCTGGGGGCATTGACAAGGCCTCAGGATTGTTTGGATCAAGTTGGGGAGTCTACATTTTTTTTCAACAGGGTTAGAAATCCATTTACTTTGGGCTTGGTGGGACAGTCTGATGCAGTTTTAGTTACCTCCGTGCCTTGTCGGTGTTGCTGGTGGGCCAGGTTTCAGCAGAAATGCCACATATTTCGCTGCACTGTCAGGATGGCATTTCCTTTTACATGTAGTTGAAGTTAGCACAGGAAATGACTCTCAGTGTGACTAACCCTAGTAGCACTCCTTTTCAGACTGAAAAGTACTTTTGTGGAGACATAATGCTTAGCCAAGGCTAAGCTATTACCTTTTTGTACATTTGGTAGGAATAGTTCTTATAGGGAAAATGTTTATAGAGAAGACTTACTGAAACCTTGCCACTTTTAACCGCTTCCAAATCCATTTTCTACCCGGGGAAACTGAGCCACAGAGAGGTTAAGTACTTTTTTCAATACCACACAGTGGCACAGAATTCAGAGCCAGGGACTCAGGTTCCAGTCAGTCACTTAAACCCCTGACTCTCCACCCCTGCAGGACAATAAGCAGACCCTGGATGTAAATCTTTGGGGCTTTAGACAATGAAAATGACTTCCCCAGGCCCCTGGGCTACTCATCAGATAAATAAAGGTGAACTTGAATTTGCCTTAGGGTTTTATCAGGACTATTTGAGAAAGCTCTGACATGCTTTCCACAAAATAAAACAGATGCATGTCTGCAATTTGCATTAATTCACAGACACACCCTTTTCTTAGCCTTAGGTTGAAATTTAAAATATCTAAACAAAAAAAATGCTTAGGTTTTGTTTTAGGTTTAGTGTAATATTCTCCTGTTTTAAGAAAACCTTTTAGTTTATGAATGACTTTTGAAAAGGGCAAAAGATTCCCTCCCCACCTATCTATTAAGTAATTGTTCAGCATTTACCTTCTTGATGAGTTGGTTTAGGTTGTATTGTGGGGTTTTCTTTTGTGTGTGTGTGTGACCTTGAATTCTCTGCATGCTGCTGAAGTCTTTTACTTGAGGACATTTTATATTAAGAAAATCTTTCAGGTTCATTTGGACTGGTCCACTATGAAGTTATGGCGTTTACCTAAAGCTAATAAGATAATTTATGTTGTTCCTGTAAATGAGATCTGAAAAACCACCAATGTGTCAATACCAAAATCAATTTGAAAAGGATCTACTATGAAATTAGGTTTCTCAAATAAAATGTAGTTTAACAAGAAGGCATTCACTCTTCTTCCTTTTTATGGGGATACTTTTCATTAGAATGTAAAAATGATAGCATGTTTTATAGTCATAGACTTAATATGTATCAAACTTGATATTTTTTCAAGATCAAAGGATTGAATTTCAATTTAAATGTATGGATTTTTTATTAAGGAAACAGCATCTTGCTGAAAAATAGATTAGGAGATATTTTGTGTATTCTTTTTGTCACCTAAGGAAATTGCAAAAGCATACATTCAAAATTGTGTAAGATTTAGTACACAAGCAGGAAACAGCTCCATATAGATTTTTATAAAAAAAAAAAATGCACTGATACTATTCTGCCCTTGAGTCAAAATGCATTAACAATTTGGCTTTTTTCTCTGTAAATTTTGGTTGAGAGATTGTTCATTATTGTTGCATTTCAATGTGATTGTGAATTAAATGATGCAAAACTCAATAAAGTAAAATACACAAAAGACCAATTAGCTTGTTATCACAGTAAGTATATAGAAGAATGAGAGAACATACTGTTCTACACAGTAGCATATAATTAAGATGTAGTCATAAATCAAGGAAATATTAAAACTTGTTTAGGTGCACAGGTGGCTTTTAGAAAGATTGATTAGCTCCTCTTGCCCCCTTGAGATGTGAGTTCATAGTGATTCCTGCAAAATTAAAAAGAACAATTTCTCAACCTTCCCACGGTGTGTGTATGCTTCAGTGCAAACAGCGGGCAGGAAATGAATGTGGGAAGGTGTTCACCTCCTTGTCCCTTCCTGTTCCAGATGCTCTCTACGACGTGATCACAGTGGGAGCCCCCGCCGCCCATTTTCAGGGATTTAAGAATGGTGGTCTTCGGAAACTTCTCCATAGATTTGAGATGGAAAGAAGAAAGTAAGTGATGACAAAATATGTCAATGACATCGAAAGTCAGCCTATAGCTTCTACATGTAAACAAAGTTGTTGAACTTCCCAAAAATGCTTGATCAGAATTAAATTAGAATAAGTGAAATACCTGAGTGTGTTGCTTATACAGCAGCCCTGAACTGGTATAGAAAATCTTTTCTGGAATCCTAAGTGGGACATATAGGAAACAAGGCAATGAATTCACAAGTGAGTCAGAGACTCTGACTTCAAGGTATAGTAAACTCCAATGCAACAGGATCCATGTTTCACAAATACAATGCAACAGGATCCATGTTAGATAGCATGGGGTTCTCAGTCATGCTTGCAAATGAAAATCATATTTGGAACTTTCGAACATTTTATCTGTGCCAGAATATCACAGCAGACAAATTAAGTGAATTTCTCTGGGAATGGGGCCCCGGGATTGGTGGTTTTAAAAGCTTCTCAGGTGAGACTAATGTGTAACCAGGGTTGAGAACTGCCAACAGAGATGTAAATAAATAGTGCTGGGAGAAGACAGATGAAGCAGAGATTAGAGATTGGAGACAGGAACGGTGACACAGATAATTCTTGAAAAATGAGCCTTATGATGAAAAACATGCAGAAGCTCAATTGGTTTGTCATGGGAAGGAAGAAAATTTACATAAAGGAATATCTGGTAAAGATGAAATGTATTACAACTCATTTACTTGAAATTTTGGCTTAAAGAATCTCAAACTCATTAGGCAATTGTAAAGTGGAACCAGCAATGACAATGGAGCTGGATAGACTTCCCTTCTTCCATGGATTTGAGTCCTGGCTCTGGAATTTATGAGCCTTTTACTTAGCCAAATTTTCTTACTTCCCTGTGCCTTAGTTTCCTCTTTCATAAAGTAAAGAGATAAAGTAAAAATAACATCGTTTATCTCACAAGGTTGTTAAGAAGATTTGATGACTTCATATATACCCAATGTTTATAACAGTCCAAGTTCATAACGTTCAGCCTTATTCTGAAAGCTTAATAGAGATTTGCTGTTATCTATGTAAAATACATAAACAAGTGTTTTTTTCCTTTCACTCAAAAAATATCTTCTGACAACTTCTCATTTCAATGCCTGTAGGCCTCATTTTTTTCTACAATCCTAGGTAAGATTGTATTGACTGAATGTACCATAATTATCTAACTGATACACTACTTATGGTCATTTAGATTGTTTCTGATTTTTTGTTATAACCCCCTGTGTTTGCAAGGTATACCTTTATTCTCATGTCTATAGATTTGTCTTTGCTTTGAACAAATTCCTACAATTAGAATTCTTAATTAAGTCATGGTTAAATTTTAGAGATACTGTTATATTGATCTCCAAAAAAGTTGCATCACATACACAAAGGGGATAATTACCCATTACATTCCTGAGCACTGGGCTTCAGACACCATCTATTCAGACACCATCTATGAGCAGCCTGGCATGGCTGGTGAGGTCCACACATATATTTACAACCATTTATCAGTCAGTTACTCATTAATCGTATCTTCCAAATACCTCAGAGTTAACCTATTAAGCAATATCTCACCCCTGGCCCTTCAGACTTCTCTTGGTCATTTCTTGTCTTTTTAAAATATAATTATTGAGGTAAAATGCATTTATAACACTGTATATGTTTTAGGGGTATAGGTTCACACCTCTACAAATATATGTCACTATACCATACCCACCATACCCAAAGCTCCCATAACCCTCCACTCTGGTCCATTGGGCCTTCTTCCCCATTTGCCCCTTCCTCCACCCTCTCCTCCGGTAGCTTAGTAAAAGGCACCATGATCCACCCAGATTTCAACTTAGAAACCTGGAGATCTTGACTATTTTCCTTCCCTTGTTTCCAATTCCAAGAAAAAAAAATCAGTTCTGTCAGTTCTTCCTTCTTATTTCTAACAAAGTCATTCATTTCAACAAAATATTATCGTTTAGGGTAATTGTAACCTACGGAATTACCGTCTTCAAAATATTCTCTTTATTACTCTCCTTTCAGGGTTGTCTCTCATCCAGTCTGTATTTCTCACCTTGGTTAGAGTAATAGTTCTAAAAGACGAATGCAGCCTTGTGATTTCATAATTTTCAACGCTCCTTACCTGTTTCTTGCCTTGAGGTCACAGTACAAGGCACACAATACATTCATCGCTTACACACACACTGTCACCTCTTCCCCCCATGTTCACTTCCTCAGTTTCAGCACCATGTGGAGGCCTCGGCTAGACCATCCTGTGGGTAGCCTCCAGTGTGTTCTCTGAGGGATGGACCGTATGTATCTGGTTCACCACAGTATTCCCAGCAACTGACTGACAAGTGTTTGTTGAATGACTAAGTATCTGAGGGAGGGAGTAGAAGAAGTAAAAGAACTGCCTGTGTTAGTTGTAGAGGGAGAAGATATTACTCTGCCTGAAGAGATCACTGCTACTGAATTAGGTAACACAAATACAGGGAATGTCTGTGGAAATAGGGAACAAACATAGGCATTTGTGAAATGTCTTGTAGGCATTCCACACAGTTGTTTGTCAGCTGTTGGAATGTTAATATCTCCCTTTACCTCACAGAGAAGGGGAAATAACATTTCATGTGTTCTATTTTATTAAAATAGCCAACCTAAAATCAGATTCAATGTTAGCAGTGTGGTGGTGATGTTAACATTTGACAGCTGTAGATGCTCTTCCACTAACCGACCCAAAAGCTTGTGAAGCAAAGTATGATATGAAACTCAAGTAAGAAGAATTGTGCGTGGTGGGGCAGTTCATGACCCTTAAATATTAAACTTTTCTTTAGGAAAATAACTTGTTTAATTGTAAATGAAAAAAAAAAAAGTTTGCTAAATGATCCTAGACTTTATAGTGACAATAAATTTGGTGAAGAGTGTCTGAAAATAATAAAGCACAATCAATCTTAATTGTGGTATTTCAGAAAGTCACTGACCTCAACTTTCAGTTTTCTTATTTGCATGACAGTGATTTCTTTTCAAATCATTAGACTGTTAGAAAGAGCAATTAAAATAGCAGATGATTTCATCATAGGTAGAATATAAAGACACCACACGAGGGAACAAACCAAATTATAGCAAAACAAACCCGTGAAACCTGACTGCGTAATTGAGACTACCTGAGGGGGAGGGTGGGGTAAGACGCAAAGCGGGAGGGGGCCCATTGGGTTGTGGTGGAGGATTACTAGTGCTTGGTGGTGAGCATGGTGTGCTGATTCACACCTGAGGTGTGACCCTATACTCCTAAATCACACATAGTGTTGTAAGCCAATGTTACCGCAAAAAAAAAATAATACAATTGAAAAAAAAAAAAGAGTAGTAAAAATCTTGAGATTTTTTTGAAGAGAATCTTATTAAATATATCATCACTATTGCTCAGGAAGATATTTTGGATAATTTCACTTTGCAATTAAATTTTTAATTTCACACACTTGTTAAGATATGAATTCGGGTTTTATCTCAGAAGAGAAGTAAATCAACATGAAGATTAAGACTATATGATAAAACGTTAACTCTCATATGCAAAATACAAGAAGAAACCATTTTATCTGCTTACTTAAAAAGCTAGATATGAAAATTAAGTGGCTTGAGGAGTTATTTTCTATAAATCAAGACTTGCTTTTCACCTTCACTGTAAACTAAGACAATGTTTGGAACCAGGATGCAGCAAGTTGTCATCTCAACTGGTCTGCATTCAATCCAAGGAAGAACTTTCATTCTCATATTAAACATTGAGAGATTTGCAGCATATTATTTAAGGCTTTCTATTAATTTAGTTATTTAGGATCCATAATTCTAAAGACAGCAAACAACAGAAAAGGAAGAACAATACTTACAAATAAATTGCAATCAAATAAAAAATACTATATTTTCTAGGACTCTTGATGCTAGATCTGGGTTATCTCATTCTTTGGCAGATTACAGTAACATGCTAACTTAAAAAATATAAATTTGGAATCTGTGTCATAGAAAATCACTCACTTGATGGTGTATCAATAGAAAAGTAGTGTGGATGCCCAGTCTTCATTACATGGAACCTTACCTGAACTGTGCCAGTGTCCCCTTCCCTGTCATGGAGGCTTGTGTTAAGTAGTTACTCCAGTGACCTTGATGGAGGGGAAAGATGACTTGAATTAGGGTGGGGTCAGTAGGGATAAAGAGAGAAGAGAGTGATGGTTATAGAGATACATTGGAGGCTTGACAGTTTTTGCATTTTTCATGTTTGTTTGGAGTGAGGTAAAAGTCCAGAGGAATCAAGGAATACTCTGACTTCTGTGTAGCCCTGATACGGGGGAGCTGTTTGCTGCAGATTGGCTCTGAAACTCCAGGAACATAGAATAACCTGTGGTGCGTGCATGTGTGGACGTGCATAAGGATAGAAGAATGGCAGCTTCTCCTATAGGTTGTGAGGACTCATTGACAGATGTTTGTAGGATTATCAACAACATGAAATTTGCATTTTGAGTGGCAGTGAACAGAACTGAAGAAGGGCAAACACTATCAGACCATATAACTGTGACAGTGAGAGGAATTGAGCAACTAACTATGGTGTTGAAGACCTTAAGGAAACTTTAACAGGATTGAAATCCAACTGGATGAGAGAGACTGAGTAGGGTTGAAAGAATCTTAGGTTTCTAGTTCGTGTAATTGGGTAAATGGCAAGGTCTCTGGGAAAGGCGATGCAAAGAACCCATTTGCAACATTGCTTATTTGATAAGATCAGTTGTCCAGTAGGAAAAAAATTTTGGGAAACCAATCATTTTGTTGAGTCTACATTTTTGTTCACATTTTAAAAATCTTTTAAATATTTATAATTCACAGGGGATCTCAGAAAGCACACATTGCCCATTTTGTTTCAGTGAGGAGACTGCTAAGGCCCAAGGACTGTATCGCTAATGACAGAGCCAGAGGCGAAAAGCAGTCTGTCCCTAGACTTCTGTTCTTCTCTACTCATTCTCCCTCACACAATCGGTAGATGT